TAAGTACTTGTTCTTAGTTTCTGACCTCAATTTTTGCAAAGAAATGAATGAATTTTAGGTAAATAATTTCTATTGCCTCCTTAGAAAATGGCTTTCCAAAGTGTCTATACTACTAGCTTGGCACCTAGTCATAAGAATTTCAAGAAAACAAAACCAAAACATAAAGTTTGTCATAAGACTGGCTTTATGTCTTAGGCATTTACACACCACTGGGCTGGGTAAAAGCGGATGATATTCTACACCAAGAGAGGAGTCACCTGATGATGTGGCATTGAAATGACTTTTGTTTATTCCTGGTAACAGTAGCCTTCACTCCCACAGCTGCTCTGTTAATAGATGGAGGTAATTTTATTTTTAAGTTCTGCTTTGTAAACCAACTCATCCTTTTCAGCTGGTGTTTTGCCAGATACACTCGTCTAGCTTGCTGGCTGAACATTTCTCCTACAACTGGTAAGAGAATGAATTGATACTGTGGGAAACACAGGTTTTTTTAATAGCCTAGGTTTCTACCAAATTCTGTGCATTAAGCTCTACAGCATAACAAGCTGAAATTCTAATACTCTCTACAATTGCTACCCTTTAAAATTATGTGACCTGTTAGATAGAAGATGTTATTAAGAAATGCAGACATTCTAAAAGGCATGTTTTGAGGCATTAAGAGAACACATATAAGAATCCCTAACATCATAGACGTATTTGGCTTGTAAGGAAAATTTGTGCAATACAATTAACATTTTTCTTAACCACTTCCCAGAATAAAATATTCCCCAAAGACTAAATAAGTGCATACTGACTCCAGTGTTAGAATGCTTCAGTTTGACCATTCTACCTCACTTCTTGCTTTCCCAATATGAACTTCTGTGAGGGAAGGTGATAGTTTTATGAAATGTTATAAGTTTTTATGACCATCAGCTGACAAAAGCATGAATTTCCATATGAATTCAAACTGAAAGTGAGCTCACTTAAATTAGAATTATACAACTTTGATATGAACTCCTTTGCCAGACTCTTTTTCAATGAGTTTAAAATACAGCTTGCTGGGTATGGTGGTTCACTCCTGTAACCAGCTAGGATTTCCCAGCTAGGGTGAGAGGATCACTTGAGGCCAAGAGTTGGAGATAAATATAGATTAAAAAAATAAAAATACAAGTAAAAATTGTGACATTAAATTCATATCCTAAGTATAGAACTTCATTGCGTTTGGTCACAAACCACATCTGTAGCAAAAAGCACTATTCCTCATAGAATAAAAACAGACACACACATATACATTTTCTTACACGCAGAAGCGTGACCTGATTTACCATGCAACACTCTTGCAGTCTGTTCGGTGTTCATGGCTAATGTACAAAGACAAGTATGTGTTTATACAGAGTAATTGGCAAGTGAATGAAGCTTATTAGTCCCCAGCTCATACTAGCAATG